TGAACCTAAATTCCCCACCAAGTGCAAGAAATAGGCTTAATTTCTAATTGTTTAGTTTTAACCTGGCAACATTTGACCTAAATCGCCAGGCAAGGGCAAGAATTAGGCTTCCATTCTGAGGCCAGATTCTAGAAGAGCTACAACTTAGCTAAGATTTGTTCGTAAGTTACGCACATCCTGAGAAGTGGAGAAATCTGTATTCAAGAAGGCAATTCTTAAGTGAGAGGATGAAAGCGCAGTCCTCGTACGCAATATCGGGCTATTAATATGACGGCAGCGGCTTCGGCAACATGAGCTATCAATCAGAGGGCTCGGCATTGTTCGGAGCACCATGGATTCTGAATAGCAAAGAACGCAGGCGGCCTTTCTGCCAAGGCTTGTCTGGGGATCGTGTCCGCGCAGTGAACTGTCGACACTACCACAACATAAACGGGCCAGAATGCCGAGGCCGGGCTAACCGCCTTCGTCGACTAATACAAACCCGATCGCTACGAGGTCATCCGAACTATCATCGTCGCTAAAAGAAGACGGCCTGCGGCGCTCGTTTTCAAAGCAGCGCACGTAGAAACAAATCGCCATGGTGTTTTTTGCCGGCCTCGGGAATACAGGAGAGACCCGACGTCCAAGAAGATAAGTTTGAACTACGAGAACGCCTGAAAGAGCAACTCAGTACCTGTTCACACTGGGAGCGGACATGCGAGTGTTTGATCTAAGCGCTGGAACCGCGATGTTAAAGCGCGTCTTGGTAAGCGCTTCGGGACCGATCACTTTTAATTACAACTCGATGCTGCCGTAACACTCGGCAGAGGAAGGTTGAACTGGCATCGCGTAGCTTCCACGAGCTGCTCTAGCTCAACAGTGTTAACGTACCGTCGTGGCCGAATAAAAATGGCATACTAATAACAAAGCGTACATACTATATGTTTCGAAGGTAATTCACACGACGTTTATTAGTGCTTTATATCACACAAAACAAGGATATAGAACCGATAAGAGCTGTCCCTTTCCGACTAGAGCGTTCGCCACCGCTGCCTCTGGAATCCAGGCGATGACAAGGGGAAGCGGCTGACCTCTTAAGCGAAAATTAAGGTCAGCGATGAATCGATTTTTACGGGAAGGGTTCACAAGGGTTGCGTGGACATATTTCATTCGGCAAGCCAGCCGGTTGTGGGAAAACTGTCTTGGATGCAGGGACCGTCCGAGCAACGCGGCGCCGGAGTGCCTTGCAAGGCCTAGTGCAGATCCAGCTCTTGTCGGTCGCTTGGTCGGTGGGATCTTTGCGTTCTAGCTTTTTCCTGATATCTTTAGATCCAGCGTTCATCTCGGTCGTGGGCGGTTTCGAATGCTTATTAATTTTTTCTTGCTGTTTGATGCTGGGGCGCGCGTTGCTATGAGTAACTGAGCGCCGGTGTCGGCCACGTTCAATTCATTGTAAAAAATGTGCGCAAGACAGCTCTGGTGCTGCCGCAGGATTCAGTCGTAACCACGCGAAACTTACGAACATTTCGCTTCGTGAATATGAATTTGCTCGCTCGTTTTGTCGTTCACACTTTTTTGGCGTAAGGTCATTTCGTGAATATTGTCCCTACTTGTTATGTTTTCTCTTGGCAACGTTGGATATGAATTGCCAAGCAAGTGTCCGAATTAGACTTCATTTGTGATTTTTCGAGTTTCACCTGGCAACTTTGTACCTAAATTTCTAAGTAAGAGCCAGAATTAAGCTCCACTTCTAATTGTGCGGTTTCCACTTGAAAATTTTGAACCTAAATTTCTAAGCCAGTGGCAGAATTAGGCTTCGGTCATGATTATTGGGCTTTCACTTGGCAGCGTTGGACCTAAATTGTCAAGCAAGTGCCGCAATTAAGCTTCACTGCTTGAGGTTTGGGTTTCTCCTTGCAACTTGGATTTAAATTGCCCAACAAGTGCCAGAATTAGGCTTCACTTCTGATTGTTTGATTTACACTTGGCAACTTTGTACATAAATATCCAAGCAACTGCCAGAATTAGCCTTCTCTTCTGATCGTTCAGTTTTTACCTGGCAACGTTGGACCTACATTGCCAACCGAGTGCCAGAATTAGGCTTCATTCATGATTGTTGAGTTTTCACTTGGCAACTTTAGACCTAAATTGTCAAGCAAGTGCCAGAATTAAGTTTGACTGCTTGTAGTTCGGGTTTCACCTGGCAACATCGGGCCTAAATTGCCAAACAAGAGCCAGAATTAAGGCTTACTCCAGGTTGTTCAGTTTTCACCTCGCAATACTGTACCGAACTGTCATGCAAGTGCAAGAATTAAGCTTCACTGCTTGTAGTTCGTGTTTCACCCGGTAGCTTTGGGCCTAATTCGCTAAGCAAGTGCCAGAATTGGGCTTCACTTCTGATTGATCGGTTTTCACTCGCCAACTTTGCACCTAGATATCCAAGCATATGCCATATAATTATCCTTGACTTCTGATCGTTCAGTTTTTACCTGGCAACTTTGGACATAAATTGCCAAGCACGTACCGAAATTATGTATCCCTTCTTATTTTGGTTTTTTTTCATGGCAACTTGGGACCTAAATTGTCAAGCAAGTGCAAGAATTAAGCTTCTTTACTTGTAGTTTCCGTTGAACCTGGCAACTTTAGGCCTAAATTGACAATCATTTGCTAGAATTAGGCTTCAATTCTGATTGTTCGGTTTTCACTTGGAAACCTTGGACCTGAATATCCATGCAAGTGCGAAAATTGGCCCTCACTTCTTAGCGTTCAGTTTTCAGCTGAAAACTTCGGCACCAAATTGCCAAGCAGGTGCCAGAACTAGGCTTCACTCATGATTGCTGGGTTTTCCTCTGGCAATTTGAGACCTAAACGGTCAGCTAGTGCCAGAATTTAGCTTCACTGCTCATAGTTCCGGTTTCACCTGGCAACTTTGGGCCTAAATTACCAAGCAAGTGCCTGAATGTTTCACTGCAGGTTATATGGTTGATACGTGATATATTTTACTCAAGTTTGTGAGTCATGACGCATTTGACTCATGTTTGACAATTATGTGGCAAACTAGATGAAAGAAAAAGAAACGCAAGTTGGCGCTATCTAACGTATGGAAGAAAAATCTTCTTTGGCCGAATTTAGGCCCTGCAAAATGACCAAACTTGGGCCAAGTTAGCGTATTCGGTTTTGCCGCAGTTTGTCATATGTTGAAAAAAAATCAGAGCATCATGTTGTCTGGAGATTCGTAAATGGCCAGGATGCGAAAATAATTCGTCGCGTTAACGTTTTTCAGTTCTGTGTATGATGTCATTTGTTATCTGTTCAGAATGGCAGTTAATGCTTAGGGCGCATTTTTTTTCTTGGAGAACTGTAAAATTCAAAAAATAATTTCAAAATTAAATTCGGGGACCCCCAAACTTAAATTTTGTCTAAAAGACCGTATCTTAAGGAGGCAGGATCATGAATGAGCACAAGCTCCAAATTTGTGATCCAACATGAGCAATGAATATGAAAAGTGCAAACGCCTTTTCCGTGGGACTTTTCATAAACTTGTGCGTTCGCGAATTCTTTTTATCACTTGTTATTTTTGTGCCATGTCTGAGCCTGATTAGCCTAGCTTTTCTGATTTTTATTTTAAATCTTCACAATCGATTCCAGGTCAACAATAGGATCGGATTCTTGCGACACTCCTTCGGTCACCTCATTCGCCACGTGATAAACGACGGCGAGATGGTGGGCATTGTTAGGTTTTACAAGCAATGTGACGTTCTACAGCCTCTCAAAGAGGTGAAAGATAAGGCTACACGGGAAGCTTTTGCTAAGAAGGTGGAACGATTTTCCCTCAAATTCTACACTTCCATCGGCTGCGGTCTTCAATTGGGCATCAAGGTAAGCTTGCCCCACTTGGCTCAACCCGTACAAAAAGGTCAGATAAATACCAGACAAAAAATGCCTCCCCTCCGATTCTGAAATTGGGCGTGAACAAATGTCAGGTTTAGTCCGAGAGACTGGAAGTTTCTTTCCCCCTAATTCTACATCCACTTTCAATCCGGTTCAACCTGCTTCCAGGGCTCCCGATCAAATCCGGTTGATACGCCGGAGCTGAATCCTTCAGCTCCGGCGATGAAATAGAGCTGATCCTTCGTTGCTGTTGAAAGATACAATTTGATGGAGAAACCCCCGTCATTAGATTGCAAAGGCAATCAAATGACAAGTCGACACTGTATTTTGGACCAAAGCAGACTTGTACCGTACGCATTACAAGTAATCAAATTACTTGTAATCGATTACTTTTTTGAGTAATTTTGTAATCAGTTGATTACTTTTATTAGGCTGTAATCACAAGAGTAATCTGATTACTTTTTGAAGTAATAAAAATTACTTCTTACCGTTACTATTTTTCCACGGAAACCCCTCCCCCCCCCCCCCCCCCCGCACACACCTTTTTTTTTTCAGAAAGTAAAAAAAAAAAAAAACTGCTTCTTTTTCAAGCAGGAAAAAAAATTTTTTTTTGCGGATCTGTGGGAAATAAGGTCAACCCCTTTGTATGTATAGTTTGTGTGGAATGTACCCTTTCTTTTTTTCGAGCTGGGACTGGGATTGGGAAGCCCCAGAAAGCCCCTGTGCAGCCCAAGGGAAGCTTTAGTGCGTGATAAAGGCCATTCAGGGCGAAGTTTGAGGGAGCAGAATGTAGCTTTGTAAGTCCTTCGTTCAAACTAGCCCCCTCACGCACACACACACAGAAATAAACAAAAACAATCTTGCTTACGGTACCTACTCGCAGCCCATAGGAGAACCAGAACCGAAGAATGTCTAAAGCGGATGCAAAATATAACAAAGCCAGTTCAAATACACGTCAAGATCCCGTATTTCCCCTACGTAGTGTTTGTGACAAGCAAGGTTCCGAGGTTGGAAGTAGTTCATTGTTATGAGCACTAAAGATGTAAGCCTTCACACAATAAAGTAATCGGAAAAGTAACGGTTACTTCTTAAAGTAATGTCCAATTACTTCTGCTGTCAAGTAATCAAGTAATCTAATCGAATACTTTTTAGCCAAGAGTAAAAGTAATTCTAATCGATTACATTTTTTTAGTAACGTGTACAAGACTGGACCAAAGAGAGGCCGACAAGTCTGATTACACCGATAACGCCAAGAACGCTCTTTGCATGCTGTAGATAAGAAACATGCTAAAAATTAGCAGAAAAAACGAACACATTTTACAAAGCCTCCGCCGCATATGCAAGTGCGAACTTGCAAACACTCCCCAGAACGTGATTCCAAATACAGTTAAAGGGGCTCCGATTGTTGTTGTTGTTTGCAGGTTTTATGGCGCAAGAGCTACGATGGCCTTACTGCGCCAAACTACGTAAACTGAAATGAACTACAATCGATGTACCAAGAAAGTATTTCCACTGTAGTTTGTGTAAAATCGCTGTATTTTCTAGAAAAGCTAGGAGACGGTCAATTGATATTAGAAGCTGTTCCCCTAGGAAAAGGGTAAGATGAAAAGGGATACAGTTGTTGAAAAGCTCAGGAAAGAAGAACTTGTGTTGTTGTAGAAGACCAGGGCCAAGAAAAATATGTAGAACGTTCAAAGTGTCTCCACAGTGGTCGCACACTGGTGGTTCCTCACCAACAAGTAGGTAATAAAGGGTGAAGAAGGTGTGGCCGATCTTCAACCTGCAGAGAAGAACCTGACGGAAACGGCTCCGGTTATAGGAGCTTTCCCAGGTACCGATGTTTGGCTTCATGATGTGAAGTTTGTTGTTATCGGAAAAATGCCACTCGGACTGCCAGAGTTTTAGAAGTGAACGCCGTATGGGCCTTGTTAGGTCTTGGTATGGATATGTGCGTGTGATGGTAAGAGCTTACGCGACGAGGCGGCCAGCCTATCTGCAGCATCGTTGTCTGCAATGCCCACATGGCTCGGGAACCAACAAAACTTCATATCCTTGCCATCTCCGAGGCCCAGTTGAACTTTAGCACGTACCAGTTGAGTCAGCTTGTTCTTGGTTGGATTAAGTGAACATGCTGCAGTAACAACTCTCCGGGTGTCTACAAAAAGAACTGCTTTCATCACTTTGCTCCTGATAATATAGTGAAGTGCTGACAGCACGCCATATAACTCGTCAGTAAAAATGCTAGCAACATTATTTAGCCGTGTCACATGGGTAAACAAATTAGAATAAATAGCATAGCCTACATACGTTGAGGACTTGGCTCTGTCAATGTAAAATTGATGATAATTCTTGTACTTTTATTGCAGTGCAAGAAATACCTGTTGTAAAGTGTGTGGGGAGACATTATGTTCATTAAATTTTGTGACGTACCTATCACAAGCTATAGGCTTGATATTTCATGGGGCAGTATGACATGCACTTTCTATGAGGTTGACATTTTCACGAGGCAGGCCAAGGGAGAGACGAAGGCTCTCAAAACGAAGACTCAAAGGTCGACCAACAGTTGGCTTGTGGTCAAAGGTACGACAAAATCTACTCTCGGATATAAGTGTGAGCTGGATGACTAGAATCCGATAAAACTTTGTAAACATAGACTAGACTAAAGAGCTGCCGCCTTTCCTCGAGTGACATTTCATTAGAGTCAACATACAAGCTTGGGATAGGGGATGTTCGAAAAGCACCACTTGCTATACGCAACCCAAGATGGTGCACTGGTTCAAGCATCTTCAATGCAGATGGCCGAGCAGATGCATACACAATAGCACCATAATCAAGACATGATCGTACGAGAGAGGAATAGAGACGAAGCAGACACCTTTTATCGGAGCCCCAAGACTTGTGAGAAAGAACTTTTAAGATATTCATAGTCTGCATAAACTTTTGCTTCAGCCACTTGAGGTGAGGTACAAAGCTAAGTTTACGGTCGAAAATCATTCCCAGGAACTTATGCTCTGGTCTTACTGCATTGCTATTTCCATTTAAACACTGATTGTTTTGTCTGAAGAGAACTTAAAACCATTTTCATTTGTCCATTTAGTCATTTTATTTATGGCTAGCTTCAGCTGCCTTTCACAGCTAGACATATTACAAGATGCCACAGAAATCTGAATATCATCCACATATAGGGACTACAACACGGAAGAAGGTATGACCTGACAAAGATAATTAATTTTTACGGCGAAGAGAGAGACACTCAGGACTCCGCCCTGAGGAACAACGTTTTCTTGAACATACGAATCAGATAATGTAGTGCCTAGCCGGACACGGAAAGTGCGTCTACACAGGAAGTTCTTTATGCAATGAAGCAATCGGCCACGTACTCCATACATAAAAAGGTCGCGCAGGATGCTATGTTTCCAAGTTGTATCATAAGCCTTTTCTAAGCTAAAAAAAGACAGATACACAATGCTGCTTATTCACGAATGCCTCGCGTACAATTGTCTCCAGCCGAACTAAGTGGGCGGTCATGGAGCGTCCAGGTCGACAGCCGCACTAATTTATGTCCAAAATATTGTGTTGTTCGAGAAAATAAAGAAGCCGTTTATTAACTAATTTTTCAAAAGTTTTCCTCAAGCAACTCGTCAGTGCTATTGGCCTGTAACTGGAAGGAAAGAAAAGGTCTTTTCCGGGCTTCAGTAGCGGAATAACCTCTACCCGCTTCCATTCGGAAGGGAAGTGTGAGTATTTCCACAGACCATTCAAGTAAATGAGAGGGGCAGCGAGTGATCAATTCGACAAGTGTCAGATCAGCTCATAATGTATTCGGTCAGGACCAGGGGACGAGTTTTTCCGGACATTATGAGCCATTTGGAGTTCGATCATCGTAAATGGTTAATTGTAGGGTGCAGAGGCGCCTCGCGCCAAGCTGACTTTAGTTCTTTCTGCATCTGTCTTAAACTTCAAAAACACTGAAGAGTAATGGGAGGAGTTGGAAATGGCTGCAAAATGTTCGTCCAACACATTAGCCTAGTCGCGCAATGAATCCACTGAAGGTAAAAGAGAAACTGTAAAGCAGCGGCATTTGCCTTCGATTTTGTGAAGTCGTTCCCACGCTTCCTTCGCTAGGACGTAGCTTCTGATAGAGGTCAGATAACCTTTCCAAAACTTCCTCTTTGCCTGCTTCCTGGTTGAACGAGCTTGAGCTCTATTTCTTTGAAACCCTAACGAATTCAGAGATGTGGAATATCTCCAAAATATACCCCAAGCCTTATCCTGTTTTTTCTTAGTGGCGGAATATTCTTTATTCCATCATGGCTTACATTTTTTTTTGTAATGTTACATGAAGTCTGAGGGGTGGAGCGATAGGTAGCATTTATGATCTGAGCTGTAATGTATGTGGTGGCTTCATCATGTGTTAATGGTAAGAACATGCGAGGTTTGAGCTCCGAGTTAAGGCTAAAAAAAACCCCAGTCTGCCTTTTCCAGTTTCCAACGTGGACTGCGTTCAGAGGCTTGGAACAGAAACCTGATTCTCCAAAACGACTGGAAAGTGGTCGCTCCCAAAGGGGTTATTTAAAACCTTCCAAGTAAATGTAGAAAACACTGAGGGGGATGAAATTAAAAGGTCAATAGTTGTGAATGAGTTGTGAGCAGCGCTAAAAAAGGTTGGCTCTCTCGTATTCATGAAACACAGCCCAGAAAATAATAAAAATCGCTCAATTACCCCACCACGCGAATCCTGACGGGCGCTATCCCACAGGGGGTGGTGAGCATTAAAATCTCCTAACAGTAAAAATGAATGAGGAAGCTGTGTAACCAGCCGTTGAAGATCATGAAGATGCAGTGAAGTGTTAGGTGGAATATAAGTAGAAACGACATAATAAGGCGGTCCAAAAGAAGTCGTACAGCCACAGCTTCAAGAGGCGTAGCCAGAGGAACGTGAGAGCAGGCGACTCCATTCTGGACAACCACAGCTACTCGACCAGATG